TCAGGGACAGCGGAGGGGACGCGGGCACGAGGGGGACGGCCTGGGAGGGAGGGGGAGCGCCCTCCCCCGACCTCCTCCCTTCCTCCGCCGACGCGGCGTGTCCCTTTTTAGGGAATCTTTCCCTCTTGCTTACTCCAGTGCGGGTGGGGCTGCGACCGAGAGGGAGTTCTTCTTTTCACTGGCTCTTGCCCGGGCCTCTGGCAGCCTTCGGTCCCCAAGTCTCTTCACCCCCTCCTCAGCACCTATCGCCTCGTAAACAACTATCGTCCTTTCTCCAGCCCTAGGCTCCGAGCCCCCCAGAGGGCAGCCCCTTCAATCTCGTGAGACCGGTGGGGTTATTGGGAGAGGGAAGGCGAGCGGGCGTCAGGAGCCCCTGATCGTCCCCATCCACTCCCCCCTCACCCCCCACCCCCCCACCCCCGTCTCTCCTCCCCCTCCCTGCTGCTGGAGCAGACGGCCCCAGGGGCCCTGGGTATTTTTAGCGTTGTGACCTGGGCGGCAGCTCTAAGAGCCTTTCCCAGGAATCGGCGTCAGCGCCTCCCTCCTCCGGCCAGCCCACGGCCACACGGTCTCCCCACACTTCCTCGGCCCTGCCTTGCCCACTAGGGTTTGGGTGCCCCTCGACCTGCCCCAGAGCCCGTGGAGCTGGCCAGGATCTGGGATATGCCGAAAGCAGATGAGGCAGGGAAGGCGGTCTGCGGAGGATGAAGATCAGATTCTCACTAAAAACTCCCCTGCCTGTGGTGATGGGCTCAGAGTAGAATGCCAGGAAGGAGATAGAGCGAATGGGAATGAGTGCACGAGCCTGAGATGACCCAGAGCTCTGGTGTTCTGGAAAGCTCTCAGCACTGGGGGTCAGGCACCCTGGACTGAGTTGGACCCTGGACCCTCCCTTCCAGTTGCTACTCATTAATAGGGAGATAAGACAGTGAGATGTGACAGAGGAGGGAAACAAATCGAGCTGTTGGAGTTCAGAGAAAAGATGGCCCTCCCCTGAACAGTTCACCTTGTGTTTGAGGCAGGTAGGTCGATTATGCCATTTTCAGATGGGGAGACTAAGTCTAAAAGATGATTTCCTTAGGGGCTTCTAGCCTGGAAGTCAGGTATGTGACTTCAGAGCAGAGGTTTGGAGCGGATGGAGTGTGTGTGTGTGTGGAGAGAGAGAGAGGGAGAGAGAGAGAGACAGAGAGAGAGAGAGAGAGAGAGAGAGAGAGA